CCCAACAAATACACTGTGGTAGAAAGAATTGCTGGTACTATTGGACAAAACTAGAAAGATCTTCTGACCAATATATAACGAAGTCTAAGGAGAATATTCAAGTTTAATAACTGGTTTAGTGGATTTACAGCATAGTAGTTTTAATTCCAAGTGCCACCTTTGTAGAAGATGCTTCCAGTTATAATATTGCTTACACACTCCCTCATAGTCAATAATTTCTAAAAAATTGCCAAGTGTACTTTGTACATTCATATGGAAATAATTTGAAGATTTTCAACACCTGTACTCTACCGGATTGAAGATGCAACATCAAACCTGTATTCTCAAAAGGTTAAGAGTAGTGTTGTAAGAAAACCCAATTTCCAAAATAATCCTCTTGAGGTCCCTCTACCAAAAAAACTCTTCTTTTGTTAGAATATACTTCACATGCCAGGTCAGTATCACATTTAGTGAAAGACGGTCTGAAGCCTGTAACTCTCAACGTTGCACAGTGGTACTTCTGTAGAGATTAGAAGTCATTACTATTACTTTTACACATGCTTTGTGGTAAGCTTCAGGAAGTTAATCTGGGTAGAAACTAATGCACCTCCTCCTTTTTCAGGCATAGCCCCCACGAAATAATTACTACAAAGTAATACTTTTATGATCAACTTGAGTTTATTTGTACTTAAGCCTTTTGGGCAGCTATGCATACTGATTAATAGATTCTATTTGCATTTATTTCCCTGAACTTCATTCTAACGGGTTATGCAACTGAAGTGACCTGTGAGTTCAACAATCTATTAAAATTATCTAGTACATTATATTATTGATAGCATACCAGAATTTTTTCTGTATTCAGAGAAAGCATAGATTCACAAGACGATGATCCTCCTATGTCACAATCCGATTCATGGAAGTGCAAAAATGATGAATCTGGGAGAAAAGAGAGAAAATATCTTTAGGAACTCAGAGTTACACATATGTTCTATTATCACGTCTCACATTTCCTCATGTTTGGCTTAACAGCTTCCCCACTGGGTATCCCACAGGGCAGAACTTTCATGAAGTGCTTTCTGCCCATAGCACTACACTCGCACACCGAGGGAAGCAATAGCTGACATGACAGCTTTTATATAATTAGTTTTATCCCCACTTATGCTCATGCTTTTGGTTAAAAATAGATTAATAAAAAGAGATGCTAAAAAAATGGGGCAGAGTTAAAAAAGGAGGAAGCTGGAAGCAACCAAAGCTTGGGGTAGGCATGTCTCCTTTCAGAATTATGATTCTATTCTCTCACCAAAAATAACACATAAAATTATCATTCAAATCCCAGAGAGGAAAATAAATGGAATGGACCATAAAGAGGTAGGGGAAAAGCCGCAGGAAACAGAGGTATGAAGACTGTGAAAAGCAGGCCGAATAATGAACTGTAATTGACTGAACATATATAAAGGTAAGCTACTAAGAATGTAATTATAAAAAGTGTAAGACTGATTCATTTCTTTCAAAAGTCAAACACAGCTTTTAGCATATCAGAGAAAAGGTTTAAGATACCAAACAAATGAAGAAGCAACAATAATAATCAACAACACCCCCTCAGATTGATAGACGACAGAAGCCACTACTTCCCCTACATGATGCTTTTAATTGCTATTCCAGTAGAATAGTTAACTTCCGAATCTTCGGATCCTAAAGCTTCCATCATCTTTAAATATTTCAAGAGTAAACAAGAAAAAGCAAATACACAGTATTATCTCCTTGAATCCATAGCACAAATAGCAAATTTTATCATCTCCCTTAATGTTTGTAAATCTAAGCTTGATGATAAACTTGAAAGGCTAGGGGACAGGGTGTGCTCTTAAATTTTGACTTAAGGATTGCAGTTAGTTAATTCCCTATCTCTCACAAGCACAGAGCAAAAAGAAAAAAAGAAACCGTCTTCTTGTAAAGAGAAGTCAAACCAGTATCTAAAATCATTCCCTGTAAATAGGAATTTGGACCTACATTGAACCATAAATGATAACCAGTGAGAGAGATTTTACAACAAAAGCAGGAGTGGTAAAAAGCAGAAGGTCAAAGTTTAAAGTCAGCCCTGCGAGAACAGTGGCAAACAACTCATAGTTTCCAAAAAGAGCGCTGCCAGCATGAGGTTTCATCACTACCCTTTGTTCTTCACATCGGCCAAACACTCCTGTGCTATGCCAGTGTTATTAACACATTACTTTTCCTGTCAGTGCTTGTGATTCAGTAACTTACGAGTTTTCGCTGCAGACTCACCAAGAAACTTTCGCTTCAGACATCAAAACGAAGATGTGCAAGCATGGCCTACCTCTGGAATAACTTTCTTTACAACAGCAAGGATTTAGTGAAGGAATTTTTTGTAAGGTGGTAGGAAATAAGACAACCAAGCCATAAGCCTGATACAAGCTACAGCAGGGAAAGGCCCCCTCAAATCTTGCAGTTCTTGGGGCAACAAACTGCTTTACTCATAGGGAAAAATGGATCTTTGTCTGCAAGTCAGACACAATCAAAACTGAAACACATTAAAACTTCATGAAAATCTAGAAAGACCAACCAGAGAAAGTACTTTGGACCTTGTTGTAGGCTACAGGGAAACCGATTTGAGACCAAAAAAAGATCTCAGCTTCTGTGCACGTTGTACTAAAACAAAGGCTGAGAGCTTAAGGAAATTTTTCAATTGCCTATTCATTTACTCCTAACACTTAAACAGCAAGGAGTGAATTGGTATACATCTATTTGAAGGTAAGTAGGTGTTCTGTAACTAAGGGCTATCTTACTATCAGTGCATGCAAGGTACCTGAGAAACCTGATGATTCAAGCAGAATACTTGGTACTAATCCCAGTTACACCGGTTTCTTTAAAACAACATCCACCGTTAAATCAAAATCTAATCTTCCAAATCCACCTCTGAAGGAATACCTTGAGTCAATCATTCATGTCAGGTCTAGTAACAGACGTAATTAAGTGCTTTGCCATTTATTAACTTGTAGGGTATACAGATTTTTATCTCAACACTAGGTGAAAGTCTTCTTGTTTTGTGCTTAAGCTTGAATAATTTGTAGCAACGGTTACCTGAGATAACTTTCACGATCTGATTTCATGTTTACATACTATGGCTCTCAGCCACTGTAGCCACACACACACACAAAGGTGATAAAAACTAACCAAAGAACTTTATAATGTAAAGACAAAAGGACATACAAGAGGAACGAGAGAAAGCAAAACCACAGGTGCAGGAAACTCATAAGAAGTCTATTATTCAAGTGGATTATACTAGTTTTATATTAGTTGTTAGGGACCACAGGAATTGTTGGTATGAGCACAGGCTTTTTGAAAGACAGGACAGAAAAAAAAATCACAAAACTATGCTGACAGCTAAGAAGTCGTGACACATCCCTGGTTATTCTCTTACACATAATTTAGTATCATATTCTAAGCAATTGATAAACATTTTTCTTTATCTGTCTTATGGGCACATTGTGATTCACACTGGCATTTTTCTATGGCCCATTCACACCATGATCAAGATCAACAATCGTTAACACATTAAGCTACAGGATCCAGATACGACAGACACTCAAGCACATAAAAATAATTTTAACTACGCCTGTATTACAAAATTAACGTGAAAAATAGCAGAAGATCTGCTACCCAAACCTGGCACTCTAAAGAGAAGCACTAGTAAAATATATATAACTGTAGCTGAAATTAAATCAAGACACATCTCACCCACTGAAACACGGAACTGATATGGTTGGGAGAGAACTATGAAGATCATCCAGTCCAACCCCCCTGCAAGGTCACCTCAAGCAGGTGACACAGGAACACATCTAGGGCGGTTTTTAATGTCTCCAGATGGGAAAATTCAGAAGCTCCCTGGGCAGCCTGCTCCAAGTGCTCTGAAACTCTCATGAAAAGTGGTTCCTCCTCGAGTTGAAGTGGAACTTGTCATATTTTAGTTTGTGGCCATTGCTCCTCATCCTGTTTCTAGGCATCACTAAAAAGTCTGGCACGATCCTCTTGACACCTGCCTTTTAGAAATGTATATACCTTAATGAGATTCCCTCTCAGTCTTCTTTTCTCTTGCCTAAACATGCCCAGCTCCCACAGTCTCTCTTAGAGAGAGATGTTCCAGACCCCTGGATCATCTCCAGCAGCTCCTTATCTTGCACTAAGAAACTAAGTAATATGAACACGGGGTGCTGGCATATCCACATACTACGGAGCGCAGGAATTAAAAAGCAGGCAAAGTCCAGCTGCTGGGCCCGGGAGGTGAGTGCGGCAGCAGGGATCCTCCCGTGTGGTACCTAAGGTTTGTCCGTCCCAGGGGTGAGAGGATTTCCTCGGCTCGCTGCCTCTGTGGCCCGGCGCCACACAACGGCACGGCGGGCTGGGCGCTGCAGCTCACCCGCGACATGCCCCGCTGAGCCATGCGAGCGGCAGCGGCGCGCACAGCCGAGGGGCCGCCGGCAGCCCGCACCGCCCCGGGCCGCCCCCACCACCGCCGCTCCCGGCCCCCGCTCCGGCGGTCTCGGCACCGCGCCCCGGGGCTGAAGGCGGTCACCGCGGCGACGCCCCCGACTCACCGCACTCGGCCGAGTACTGTTCCGCCCACTCCCCCGCCGGGCCGTGGCGCTGCCGGTGCCGCTCCTGTTGGAGCAGGGACAGCGCCGGGTAGCGCTCGGTAAGGGCGAACGCGGCCCGGGCCAGCAAGGCCAGCACGGCCAGCGGCACCCACGGACCCCGCGCCAACCCGCCGGCAGGTGCCATCTTCACAGCGCGCATGCGCGCCGCCTCGGCCGGGAACATGGGGTGCTCCACCACCCCACCCACGGGGCCGCCGCCGCACAGCTCCCTGGGACATGGAGTTTCCCACCGGTTCTTTCGGGCGTACAGCACTAGCAGGAAAACCACAGCTCCCAGGATGCAGCGCGGCGTGATCTGGCTCCGCTGGCTCCCGAACGCGGAAACGAGGAGGCGGTGTGGAAGCGCTGACAGGGCTGGGCGTGCATCTGCCGCGCCATGGCGGCGCTCGGCGCCTACCGCTGCATCGAGTGCAACGAGGAGGCGACAGAGCTGTACCGAGACTACCAGCGCGGGGTGCTCCGTATCTCCATCTGCGTGAGTCGAGGCGGCGAGCAGTGAGTGGGGGAGACCAGGAGTGCACGTGGGAAGCTTTGACGTCAGCAGGCGGCAGTGGCGGCGCGCGGCACGTGGTGGTGGGCCCGGTGGCACGCGGGCGCCTGAGCCCCTTGGAGCGCCCCCTGCTGCCGGGCATGGGCCATGCTCGAGCGTTGTGGCCGCTTTCCCTGAATCCACGTGTCTTATGAGAAAAGGCTGAAAGAGTTGGGTCAGTTCAGCCTTGAGAAGTGACCACTGAATGGGAGACTCATCAATGTTATAAATATCTGAAGGGCGGGTGTCAGGAGGATGGAGCTCGGTTCTTCTCAGTGGTACCAAGCAATAGCACAACAGGCAATGGGCCGATACTGATGCACAGGAAGTTCCACCTGGATATGAGGAAGAACTTCACTGTGCAGGTGACCGAGCACTGGAACAGATTGTCCTGAGAGGTTGTGGAGTCTCCCTCACTGGAGATGTTCAAGAACCATCTGAACACAATCCTGTGCCAGGTGCTCTAGGATGACCCTGCTCGAGCAGGGAGGTTGGACCAGATGAGCCCCTGTGGCCCCTGCCAGCCTGACCCATTCTGTGATTCTGTAGGTTTTCTATATGCTCTGCTTCCCAATATCATTTCCTCCTGTTCCTTGAGTGCACCTGTGTGGTAGAGCTGTCCTGACTGGCCTGCATGCTTCTGTACAGGGCACTGCAGTGCGTCTGCTGCTGCCTGCATGCTCAGCCTGGCTCCGGCTGAAGGGCAAATCTGAGCGTGGCTCCATGGTGGAACACAGCTCCCATGCCACTGGACCTAAATGTCAGGGTCTGAGTGCTGATTATTTAAAGGGACGTGGTCAGTGGCAAGTTGAACATGAGCAGCAGTGCCCTGGCAGCCAGGAGGGACAACCCTGTCCTGGGGGCATCAGGCACAGCATCACAGCCGGGCAAGGGAGGGGATTGTCCTGCTCTGCTCTGAGCTGGGGCTGCCTCACCTCGAGTGCTGGGGACAGTTTTGGACAAAACAGTGTAAGAAAGATGGTAAAGCTATTGGAGAGCATCTAAAGGAAGGTTACAAAGCTGATGAAAGATGTAGAGGGGAATCCATATGAGGAGTAGCTGAGGTCACTTGGCATATCCAGCCTGGAGAAGAGGAGGCTGAGGGGAGACCTCATTCAAGTCTACTTCGACTTGCTCTTGCTTATTAATCTGGTGATGATAAGCAGATCTAAGGCAACCTGGGAGCCAGTAGATGGCACTCATTCCCCTTGGCATTTAACCATTTGAGGACCAAAGATCCTGGTCTGTTGGAGCTGTGGCACACCATGTAGAATTAAAGGCTTAACTCCAAGTCGCTAATCACAAATGCTAAACTCATATAAAAAGTAAAGAACTGAGTAAAAGAAAGAGTAAATAATCACACATTCCTAGCAATTTGGAATTCTGTCCACCTTTCTCCATGCAGCCTCAGATCTGTACCATTTTTCACTGTCTCATACCAGTCTGTTTCCTCTGGCTATGCTGCGGGTCATCAAGGTTCAGTGTCAGTTCTAGTAGCTCTTATGTGGTGCATGTCATAACATCACAAAACTTTACCTCAATTTCTGGCCACCCAGGCAGTGCTGAGAGTGGGAGATGTGTTAGCTCATGGTATATAAAGTGGAGATGAGAATGTTGAAAGATTGCCAAGATCAAAAGATTCTTTCAGTTGAACTGACGTGACTTCGGGTTTATCTGCATACGGCAGGAAAGCCCTGCTGTTTGTCTCCAGCTACCAAAGCCTCATGGTTTCTAATAGAGCAATGCTTGGTTTACTTTTTCTTTTTAATCTGCAAGGATAGTTCTCTCACTCTACCAACTCTCTGCAGGCATTCTATTCCATGCAGGCAAGGCTGTGCTCTGACCAGAGACCTGGAAAGTTGTTCATCATCATGCTGCTGACAACAAAAAATAGTCAAGTACTGAGTGTCATTTGATACCCTTCACAGACTTTGATGAGTAGTGATATGAGTGTGCCAATGTTATGAATCTTCTTGATGATCAAACCTGAAAATAATGTTAGGTTGAAGCCTTCACTTAAAAATATATGAAGATCCCACTTATCAGTGTGAAACATCATTTATATCAGTTATGTATAGCACTTAGAGTGTAGGCCTCTAAAAACTTTTTAAAAGCTGAAGGTATTTAAGAAAATTGAAGGTCTGAGGTGAGATTAGAAGGTGTGATCACTCAGCCTGAGAACATTTTTCAGCTGTCTTCATGGAGTGAGAGCATTGAATACTGCTACTCAACTGTAGCATTAAGAGAGAAGTGAAAAATTAATAGAAAGATTGTATACTGATATTCAAAATGAGGCCAATGGGCATCATCTAGATAATTTTTTTTGGTTGAAAAGAACTTGTGTTTCATTCCCATTTTCAAGTAGTACCTGGAAATACTGACACCTTAAGAAAAAAAACAGACAATAACCCAACATTGTTCCATAAGGTAAGTAAAATACAGGGCCCTGGAAAATTTGGAACAAGCAGAACATTGTCAAGATCATCACTGTTTCATACTGACCTACAGACTTTCCCCAATACTATTTTAAAGTTGTCTTGATACATTAATAAATTGACATCTCAAAGGTCTTTGCCATTCTCAGGATAACCCTGCCATTCAACACTTTTTGGAAAATTATCTCAAGGTTGAAGAAGCTAAGTTCTCCCAACAGCAACTTCTGTCTAGCCCTACATTTATTTTAGGATGTATTTAACCTGATCTGGGTGTGATTATGAGGTGGAAGATTTAAATTTGAATACCTAAACAATATACCATGATTTTGTATTCTGTTATTAATTTGTTGAAGAGAAGAATGAATTTTTTCCAGAGGCAAATACGAAAAGCTTCCATTAAGGAACATGTGTTTCCAGCCCACAATATTAAGAGCACAATTTTGGAAATTCAGCCTAATGTTGCTTTAGTTTAGTTCCCGCAGCATTTGTTACTGCTCTTAATATAATTAAAAGTTTCTTTGAACTCCATATTGTAATTTTAATGTGGGCAAGCATTAAAGACCTCATAAGTGTTACTATCCACTCTGGGAATAAATTTGCAATGGATGCTGAAGGAACTAAAGAACCTTTCTTCTGTAAAACATAGAAGTCCACACAGTACACTTGGATTGGAAAGGTCATGTCTTTTCTTAATGACTCTGCAAGGTGGCTAACTGCCACAAATTCCTCAAGTTCTGTAACTTCTTTTAAAATCTGTTTTGTTTAATTAAGACTATTTTCAGCTGAAGCCTAGCCCAGACCTCTGGCATTGCACATTCCTTCTTGCTGGAGATTCACATTTAGTGGATTAACCATTTTCTCATCCTGCATATACTTTGCTGTGGAAGTAGCATTCCAAAAGACACATGGACCTCTTCAATATGCTTTTTGTTCAGTGTGATAACTGAGGAGCGACAGGGGAGGGTGTGGAATGTGTGGGCATGTCAGGATTGCCTCTGATGGAGGTGAGGTTTGGCACTCACTTTGCATCTCATGGGTCTGGGTTTAGTCCTAATCTGTGAATGTACTGATGTGCTCCCTGTTCTGAGCGAGAAGTGATGGTGAAAGCCAAGGTGTCTCCTTCTAGAGAAGGTTTTTTGTAATTATTTTGAGACCCTTAAAATTTAATTGATCTGTAAATAATACAGCAAATCTTCACTGTGTGTATTACAAACCAACCATTAAGAGAAGTCAGAAAAAAATACTGTTCAAATAACACTGCTGCTACAGCAATAATGCTGAGGCAGGGGGTGGGAACACATTTGGCTAACCTGTAATAAATTCTGCGAAGTTCAATGAAGACAGAAAGAAATTAGCAAACTTCACTTATTCAGAAATAGAAGAAGAAGCATGCAAACATTTTTAATATCTGGTTTTCAATTTCATGTATGTTGTTATATTTAAAAATAAAATGTTAAAAATGTTCCAGACCATAACAAAGGAAAATAAATTACTCATTGCAATATATAGAGCACAGTCAGGATCCCCCTTGTGTTTTGTAATAAGAAAGCAAAATTGCCTGAGCAGTGCACACTTCATTTAGCTTTTCTGCAATTAAAAAATAATTTAAAAGCTCTTTTATTGCAGCAAGGCAGAGAGACCAAGTGCTTTGAATGCAAAGCATTTATGGGGTAGGGTAAAGAATCTGTCGAGTACAAAGATCATCCTGGAAAATAACATATGCTAATTTTATGTAACTCTATTTACAGACTAGCTCACTACTGGACAATGTATTATGCAGGGAAAAAATTATAAAACAATATTTTTAATTTGTTTTCTGAAATGGAATGTATCTGAAACTGGGCTTTTTTTTTTTTTTTTTAGTCTACTATGACACTTGGCTGCATCCCTAATAAAGAATCCATTCCTGAAAGCAGCACAGCTAATATGTTTTATTATTTTAAGGGTGCATTTGGGATTAAGGGCACTGTCACAAGAGTCTTTAATTTGCCTATGAACCTATGCAAATGGACCCATGTTCACGTGGAACCTATGTAAATGTTGTTACAATTTGCTGTATATGTAGTCCAGAAAAAATTGTGGCTTAATTTTGCCAAACTCCAAACCCTGGAGAAAGGAATACTACAATGAGACTGTTTTGTTGACATCTCTAGAGATTTGCAAATGTATTCCTGATGTGGTTTTCATGGTAGTTTTAGATCAGGATGCAGCTTTGTTCTTCAGTGTGTGTTTTTACTTTCTGTCATGTCCTATGGTTCCCTCTTCAACAATTCTTTTACTTTCTCCAAACCACATCCTGAAATATTTTTATTTTAAAATAAATAATGTTTTAATATTAGAGAGATGACTCCAAAAATAATGTTCATATACTTTAGAAACTTTATCCTTCAAAGACAGAAGGTGTTTTCTCAAATATTTGTATCCTGTATTGTATTGGGCACATATTTGTGAACACTGTTTGCAAGTTGAGTATCTTTGATGAACAAAGTAAGAATTACATCTTTTGAGTAGTATTTCATAAAAGGCTGATAAACATGCAGTTTGAATTTACATATCAGTACTTTTTTTGATCACATTTAATACAACTGAGATGTTAAAATGTGCATTACTTTCCGTAAATGTTTTGGATTGCTTTGATCAAAAAGAATCTCATGTATGACACTGTGAAGAAGATGCTTGTACTAGCTTTTGAAAATTTCTTTTTTCTTTAATTTGCCTTTGCTAATTGGTTTTAAAATTTTTAAAGATAATTAAGCAAACTTTGAAGTTGTGAAAATGGAAGATTTCTTTTTAAACAACAGACAAGCGTAGTCAAATCTTCCTAAATATTTGATTAATCAAACAGTTCCTAAAGTAATATCCATTTAAATTTGCTAGAATATTGATATATTTTTAATATCCTTTTTTAGGGGAGCGCAGTATCTGTGGGACTTCTTTATGTCAGTATCAAACACTCGAAGTGTTCCTTAAATTTACCAGATCACAAAAAGATGTGTAAATAAAATTTATGGTGTGAAGCTTGATTTTTTTTCTGTAGCCTAACCTGAAAGTACCTTTTAATCAAAGTAGTGTCCATTTTTTCAAGAAAAAATACCAGTTATTTGTTTTCTGATGCCAATTACATATTTAAGGCAAAGCTGAAAAATGGCTAAGAGCGTAGAGAAATCCAGTTACCTCTTTTTACTGCTTTTATGATAACTGAGGCCCTTCTTTGAGAAAGTCCAAAGATGAAAAAGCTCAGTAAGTTAAAAACGTGCCTTCTTCACTCATGCTGCCCAGGCCACTGAGTGTAGCTGTGCTGAACAGGACTGGGGAACAAGATGTGAGCACCAGGATTGTAGTTCACACTAAACTGCCTGACTAAAATCCTAAAAGTAAGTGTGCAAGCAGTTCTCCATAGCTGAGCTGCTCATACCAACTCTTCTCTCAAAGTGTTAGTGATTATCAGTGTCCTCAAAGTTACATCCCTATAACTAGCTGAAACTATCTAGTGAAACATATGTACTTAAACTGCATCAATCCTTGCTTGCACTGATTTTGCTGAAGTCAGGCTTTACTCACAGGTTTTCTTCCTAGGCATTTAAGGTTGGTGTCAGGTGTTTTAGTTGTATAGCTGGAAAAAATAATGAAAAAGCCAGGTATGGAAAAGTTTTTCCCAGAGGGTATATTAGTTCTGTAATATACTAATGGTGTAGCAGCCATCATCCAATTAGTCTATAGCAGTGCACACACAAGTCTTTTGCAGCAAAGGTGGTTTGTGGGTCTCACAAATCCCTGGATGAACTCACTCTGGCTAGGTCACTGGCTGGGTAAGCACAGGGGACTTTTCCTTCTTGCAACAGAGACTCAGATAGAAATAGAGGATCTTAGGAATATAAAATATATTAAGAATAGGGCTCTCATCTAGCTCTAGAAGTATTTGGTATTTGGCTGTCAGAAGCTGTGGAGCAGAAGACACCGCTATTTTGTGGATTCATTTGTAGCAGTTTCCGTCTATATCTGCAGTAAATTTCTGTATTGTTGGTTTTGCCTCGACGGTTGGTCTGATAAATTTTTATTGTCTAAAATTCATGTCAGCTGTCAGTGAAAATTTGTCAATATGTCTTAACTGCAAGTTTTTTGATTAGTGTTTGATTGGGATCCTCTGATTGAAAATACCATTTTTTAGTCAGAAAGATTTTTTGGTCCTGGTTAAAAAAATGTTCTGTTGCAGGAGAATTTGAGAGCATAATAAAACTGGGTGTATGTAGGATACCTTTCATCTAACCTTTATGACACCCATTATGTTGAATAATCTTATTTTGTATGGACTGGTCCAGTGCTTGTGTGAATAAAACTGTTAAAAAATATTGCACTTTTGTGCAATTGTCCGATGCTACATCAACCCAGAGATTTGACCTATACAAATTACCACCTATAAGAATATCTGTTCATGATTTCCCAGTAGAAAGAAATGAAGCGAGACACTGCCTCTAATTAAAGTAGCAATTTCTTTTTCACTCTATTAAATCTTACAACTGTGGTCTTGTGTTAATTATGTCCTTTTTCTATCTCGTTTGCTTTATTTTTACACTTACCAAATTTTTGGTTAATTGAGGGAGTTTTTAAATTCATTACCTCTAACTTGTGTATTGTCATACATAGTGTTGTCTTACTGAAATGAGGTTTTTTTTAAGCTGGACCAAGAAACACTGATTAGAGGTTGCAGCATTCCCTATTCAGTTTATGCATTTGTTCAGATGTTTTTCTTGACATGGATGTTGGACTGCTGAGTCAATTTGCTGGTGAAATTCTGCATTCTCAGATTCTACAAAAATAATTTTGATAAATAGCAAGGCAGTGTTAACTTTGGACACTGTCCTAGTTTTGGCTGGTTTAATTTTATGCCTAGTAGCTGGTAGAGTGCTGTGTTTTGGATTCAGAATCAGAATAAGGTTGATAACACACAGACGTTTTAGTTGTTTCTGTCAGTGCTTACACGGAGTTTAGGACTTTTCAGTTTCCCATGCTCTGCCAGCCAGCAGGTGCACAAGGAGCTGGGAGGAAGCACAGCCAGGACAGCTGATCCAAACTGGCCAAAGGGATATTCCATATCCCATAGAGTTCCTGCCCAAGAAATGAACTGGAGGGAGTTGGCCAGGAGGGGCCGATCTCGGCTTAGGGATAGAATGACCATTGGTCAGGGCGTGGTGAGAAATTGCGTTGTGCAGCTCTTGTTTCTCTTGGGCGTTCTCTCTTATTATCTTCCATTTCATTACTATTATTATTATATTTTACATTGTTTCAATTATGAAACTATTCTTTTCACCACCCATGTGTTTTACCTTCTTCTGAGCTTCCTCCTCATCCTATTGCAGGGTGAGTGAGCAGCAGTGTGATACTTAGTTGGTCTTTGTATGACAGAAAAATTAATCTCTATAAAATTGAAAAACCTTTATGTTCTGTCCTGGGAGTTTGTCTGTAGGTGTGTGTTGTCTGATGCTGCATTTTTGACTGTTCTAGCATTTCAGAAAGTGGTGTGCCAACATTTCTCTTCTGGAAGTGTGCCACCACGTACTCATTAAAATGGAAACAGGGAGAATATCTATGACTGTTGTGTTCTCAGCATGGCAGCTAACTTGAAGGGCTGGAGGACCAAGATTAGCTGAGGAGGGCTTGGAGGAAACAAGTAGCCAGACTGGAGGATTAGCAGCAGGGGAAAGCTGGCCTGCAGGAGAGCATCCTTCTGCAGGTGCACTTGTCCGAGCTGAAGTGGTGGCTGCTGCTCCTCTGCTGCTCCTCAGCTCTCTGCTAGAAGTTACTTCCTCCTCAGGTCTGCTAGATGAGCCTTTTGTAAGATTATTTAACCCTCCTGCTCACAGTATAACAGCCTTTTATTAGCCCTCAGTCAAATCAAGGAGTGATCAGGCAGGCAGATAAGTCAATAAAGCTGGAGGGGATTGATGACCAGCAGTTCCCAGTGGTCTGGGTGAAATAACCTCTCTAGCAGACACAGCAGGAACCAGCAGGTGGGTTGGAGAAGTGATGGTCTAGTGTCCTACCACTGTTCAGTGGCAACTGACTCTGGCTGTAGGGCTGTGTGAAAACTACATTATCAGTATTCTGAGTGTATTGGTGTTTGCTTAATGATGGAAAACTGGTTGAAACATCCAGACAATTTAACAGTATGGAAGAACAATGCAACAGCAAAAAACATTTACTGTCTCCTTCAAAGAAAGAAAAAGGTAGGATAGGAGGATAAAGCATCACTGAAAATAAGGAAGTGATAGAAGAAATTAGTTTTCTTTCTAAAAATACCCAAAATAACACAAATAAAATACCCAGTAGATGAGCCATGATCAGTCAACCTTTAGCATGATACTGGTGCATTTCAATCTTGAGAAAGTAGTTTGGTTTTTTGCATCAATGGAGCACAAAATGATAACTAAGTCGATTCCTGCATAGTTCATTATCAATCTTAATTCAAAGCCTGTAAAATTCAATAATAAATCTTTCTATTTTATAAGGGAAGTCAGTGTGTCAACTGTTGTGTCAAGGGAGGAGAAGCAATTTTTCTGGATGGATTAAAACTGTATTGAAAATGAAGATGACGTCAGGGAAAGACTAATAATAATTGAATTGCTAGTTTGAATTTATCCAGTTGTACTAAGATGAGAGGAGAATTTTATAAACTCTTCCTTTGCTTTTTTTCCCCCCTAATTTTTCTTATTTTGTGATTTTCAGAAATCCTGCCAGAAACCTGTGGATAAATACATTGAGTATGATCCTGTTATCATCTTAATTAATGCCGTTTTATGCAAAGCACAAGCATACAGACACATTCTTTTCAATACAAAGATAAATGTAAGTTGCTATGTCTCTGCCTTGTGACTTTTTTTGTTAAAAATATATTTAGACTTGGTGAGCCGATTGGAATGGTTGTAAAATTTTAAGGACTGTTCATCTCCTGCCCTTCCACAGATTTCAGCAAGCTGAACCCGTTATATCATGAATAGAATACATGGAATCTCAAATTCCCACTGTCACTAAGACAGCTTCTGTCTTCACAGAAGTGATGCTGCAGTACCAACAAATACAAAGTCATCTTACATGTTAAAGAGAAGGAATTGCAAAGAGCTGTTCATGCAGTTTTCTACGCCCTCTTAATCCACCTGTCATGTTAATTGATGCTAAAAGGATGACGTGCTAAATTCCACTGTAAGAGAAAGATCTAATTGCAAATTAATTTCCAAATTAAATTTCTGTTGGAAACAATTCAATTTGAAATGAGCAATAGGAGTATAACATACCAAATTAACAATACTGTGCCAGTTAAACCTACTGTACTGATTTCTCACAAGTTTCTCCCCGTGTAATTAACCATGCCCTCAAAAGCCAGATGATGGCTTTCACTTAGTGGTTGATGCAGAATTACATAGTTGGGCTGGCCAGGCTGGAGTGTAGAGATGTAGCTTTTTAGTATTGCATATTTTTACTATAAGGACTCATTTCCCAGGAGAGGGAAGCTAATCTAGAGCAAAATCTCTTAGCCTAAGTGTGTGCTGTGTTCATGTTGGTACCTCTTAGCCAGTCCAGTTTAAGCAGTGTAGATAAAAACACTTGTCTCATCTTTCAAGCATAAATCTATCTAAATATTTTTAATTAATTCAGTGGTTCTGGAGACTGGTAATGATGTTTTCTGTGAGGCTTCTGGAAGGACTGTCTGTGAAAAGTTCATCTATTCAAATAAATTGAGTTGAATTTTAAACTGGCAAAGCCTGTGCATATATGTGCAGTTGGCATAACTTACCTCCAATGGAAAAAGTAAAATCCATGCACAGAAATTGTTATGGCTTGTTTAAATCTGTATAAAACCAGAAATCACCTCATATATGCTCTGGCTTGTAGACTGTATAATGTGGAAACATGCTAACTGTTGACCCTCACAACATATAATTTATGATGTCACTTCAGAAGATACTTTCAATAGTTTTGTTTCGTTATATTGCTCCCTTTATTTTTGGTGCTTCACCCCTATATGAACTAAGAAATACTTTGGTATAACTTACACAATTTCTTGCAATGGAGATTGTCACAGGGAAAAAGAGAAACAAGGATACTTAAACCGGTTTGCTGAATTGAGGAGCTGCCCTTAAACTGAAATGTTAGGTAGTATAATTCTACTAGTGATGGCACAATTTTGGTTTTCCAATCCTAGCTGAACAGCCTTCCCAATATTAAAATAGTATGGATCAGGACTTAACCACAGTTATATACCTTCTTCTGTACAGAATTCTTCATGCAGTTTTGTTCATGTTGTAATTTGACTATCATGTTAACAGGTATTAAAAGGATGATGTGCTAAACTAGTGGCTCAACAGAAGTAATTTTGCTTATATTGTAAAGAAAAATAATACACCTACAGAGTTTGTGTAGAGGTGTTGAAATGTATTTTAAATACTGATTTCATACTAATGCTTTAATTTATGCTGTTTAATACTACTCCTTTATTATTCTTTCATTTACCAGATTCATGGGAAGCTCTGCATATTTTGTTTGCTCTGTGAAGCTTATCTCAGGTGGTTGCAACTACAAGATTCAAGCCAAAATACAGATCCTGATGACTTAATCAGATATGCCAAAGAATGGGATTTTTATAGAATGTTTGGCATAGCTTCTTTAGGTAAGATTGGTAAAAGTGAAGTGAAAAAAAGTGAAGTAAAAGTGAAGAGATTCTTATGCTTAAATTCTTGTGCTCTTTGGAGTCAGAAATCACAAATATGATAATCCTACAGATAGAATCCTGTGATAGAATTATTCTGAGTGTCATGATACTGAATTGGTTTAAGGAATATTTGGCTATTAAGAGGAACACAGGAGATAGAGAACACTTGTATTTACCCATAGCTCTTGAAAGTGAATCAGTTGCATTTGGGACATGTCATTTTACTGAAATTCATTCAGAACTGGACTTGATTTTTGGCATTTTGTTCTCTCTTTCCAATGCCTCTTATTTCCTTCTAGAACAAACTTCATTTTTCATTGGCATTTTTATTACCTTGTGGTGGATGACACCTGAGATGCTGAAAAGAAAGTCTGACTTCATTTTACTTCTCAAAGCACTGCTGTTGTCCACATATGGAAAGCTTCTGCTAATTCCAGCTGTTATTTGGGAGCACGACTACACACCTTTGTGCCTTGCATTTATAAAAGTGTTTGTCTTGATATCAAACTCTCAGGCAATTAGAGGTACATTTTTGCGTTTTTATTACTTTATTATATATATAGAATATGTGTGAGAGACTGCTGATGTTACAGAAGTCATTATTATTGTTATCTTTTTAATCTATATCAGATACATGACTGAAATAGCTCTAGTTTAAAACTGTTCTTTAATAGAAAATGATTGGAACAAAAAATATTTTTAAAAGGAAGAAAAAAGTACCTCTTATCTCACCATCACCTCTTTGTATATATGGTATTATATCCACCAGATCCATCTGTTACAATTTGAGGCAACTCATGGATCATTGAAACATAAAATAGAATTCTTTTGAGTTTCTGAAAAATTCATATTAATTTTATTCATGTCTTTGGAATGCAGACTTTTAACAAATTTATGTGATTTCGTATACACACAAATTAATATGAATTCTCACATGATTTCTATGATCTTAAATGGTACATGATAAATTTCTTCTGTTTTCTTTTGCAGTTACATTGAACTTGAACCGAATACTCCCTTGGTTTGCCATCTTCTTTGGATTAATTTTGGAAAATGGTGTGGTCTGCTTGTTCCAGAAAATGGGATGGGATGTTTGAAATGTCAGCCCAGTGAAGAAATACCAACAACATGATGATAATTTTTTAAGAATTATCTCTGCCAGCAGGCTCCAAAAACACTGTTTTCATAGGGATAAAGAAGGTGATTGATAACAAAAAAATGTTAGAAGTTTGGCTATTTACTGTGCCGAGCCATGAAACTTCAGCCTTAGGTTGTTTATTTTCCATTAAAAATATGAGTGTCTCACTATCCTAACAGTTTTATAAATCTGGCTGCATAGCTGTGGCTGTAAGAGGAAAGGTACACTAAAAAAACCCAGCCCTGCTACCAATCAGTGCATTTTGGCAGAGAGAGGAGGATGAATTGTTCCCTTAAGAGGAAGGGAGTCAGTGGAAAAATGTAAAAGCCAAAATTTATATTCCCGCAAAACCAGATTTTCAAAGAGAAAAGTGAACATTTGCAAATAGTTTATTAGAGAAAAGGCAAGTATTTCAGAGTGGAACTACTATGGGAAAACCAAGCTGCATTCTCTGGAATGTTTGTGTAGCAATCCAAAATAATAACATTTCTAGTTCGAGAGTAATCTCTAGGAATGATAGGTTTAAACTGGCTTGAAATTTTGTGTGATCTCATAAATGCTGCTTTGTTCTGAAAGCTGAAGAGAGAGTGAAAGGACTGATCCCCAACATGCAGGGTTGTTTGGGATACTGCTGCTTCTGCATTTAAGTCATCTCCCATGCCCAGTCCTCATCTGGCTGTACATTTAGTGCAAGCAAAAACTGAAAAAACTGACATGAGGCCATACAGCAATAGAGTCGTATTTTAAAAAGAAACAAACAAACAAAAATGTTTAAGCCTAAATTAATGAAGAAACATTTAATCTTCTTCAACGGCAAGCAAAAGGAGAGCTAAGTGGCCCACAAAGGAACTGACAGAATCAGTTTCCACAAGACAGTAATAAGGACAAAAACTCACTTTTGTGCAGACCAGTTTCCATTTGTTCCATCCAATATTTAACTCTCCTTGAGTTCTGGAAGGCTGTACTATCCATAGGGATTACTTCCATTCTTTGTTTTCCTCAGATACTGTCTCATGTCTTGTGCTTTCCAGAATGCATCAAAAAGCATTTTGCAACATCCAAGTTGCAAATTAACATTCAAGTTAATCCCCAACAGGTTTAGAGCAAGTCTAGATTATGACCACAGAAGACATCAAACATGTTTGTCTGATGGAACTGCCCATGCTATGCAAGTTACTTGATCAGAAAAGCAAATGGTTGCTGATTCTTTTATTAAATCAAAGGCTGACAACACTTTTGTCGTTTGTGTTACACTTTGCAACGTCCTGAGCCTGTCAGAGAAAGCAAAAAAACTCAAATTGCAACATTTTAAAGTATGGGACTCTTGATTTGATTGGTAATGAATTAATTTCCCCAAGTTAAATCTGTTTTGTCCATGACAGTAACTGGTGACTAAACTCTCCCCATCCTCAATCTCGACCCATGAGCCTTTCCTTTTACTTTCTCTCCTGTGCCTGTCTGAGCAGTGACAGAACAGCTTTGGTGAGCATCTGACATCCAGACTGGGTCAATCCACCACAACTCTGGATGTCTCTTGAGGAAAATGTGCAAGGTTTCTAATGCCAGTTTTGATTTTCAACAACAATGCTTTGGTTTATTCTTCTTAGGATATAGATTTTTTTTTAATATTCATCATATGTGTCATGGTTATCTATACCCCTACAAAAGGGGATTTTTGTTTGGGTTTTTTTTCAGATATTTGGTCTGGCACCGGTTTCAGTCTAGAGGCTGAATGGAACCCATTTAAGGTGTAACTAATGCAGATTATTATGTGTAAACATGATGTTGTCAGCAGCAAAATTGTAAATACAATGTATATAAATTTTATTTGAGGACAGTCTTCTTAAATTAAACTTTATTTTGAATTTTTAAAAACTGATTTCAAGTATTTTTTTTTTCAGAACACCGAGAATGGTGTTCAGAACACATACGAACACTCTGAAAGAAGCAGTGTTTACCTATTGTGTCACATACAGTGATAACGTATCAGTTATGCACTCTGTAATGCTGGCAGGAGCCACCACTGCCCTTACACAACTTTGAAGCAAGAGAAGACAATTAAAAGCTACAGAGCTGTGGAACAAAAGCAGGTGTGGTACAGGTTCTCAGTCCAGAGGCATTATTAGTAATGTAGGGCATTCAGCATTGTTTGGTGTTAAAGTTACTCATTTACCGAAACTAACATGACAAATACACTAATATTTCATAAATCTAGGGGGAGCTTAAGGACACCAATGTATTTTTTATGCTTTTGAAAGCATATGGTGTTTCAGAGAGAACCAAGACTTTTTTAAGGTTCTGCCTGTTTAAAACCATCACATCTCTCTTGCTTTTACTCCATTTTGTCTATTGAACTCACCTTTTTTCCATAAACTTTTTGTAATGAAACAGTTACCTCTGCTGGAAGATGGATGGCAAATAGTCCTTTCTATATATCATCATTTGTTTCATTAACTTATAGGAGAGGATTTATTTGAGATAAAAATACAGCAGCCTGGAGGTGAACCTATAGAAATTCTTTGAGTTTTGCTTGGAATGAGAAGGGGAATTGTGGCCTATGGAGAAAATCCAGAACTCCAGTGCATGAAATGCACAGAAGAACCAGGGGTGTTACTGAGACTTGGATTGAGCAACAGCTCAGTGATTGCACAGTGGGAGCTGGGAACTTCTGTGGGTCCACAGGCCACGTAGCAAGTATTTAGAAATTAGTGCATGCAAAATTGGAGAATTACAGTGACAGCTAAGGAGGGTTAAAAGAGAAGGTAGGAGTCTGGCAGACTTCTACAAAATTAAGATGGCAATAAAAACTAAGGAGATACCATCTCAAAAACATATATAAGAAAATATGCAGTATAGATGTTTGAGTGTATAATTAAGCAAATACAAAACCATTCTAGTCCCAAGTTTACAAATGATGAACATGAAAGAAGAGTAGTATTTATTGCAGACATTTTTGTCATAGTCTAAGTGACAACATAGCAAAAGATGTCTTCCAAGCAGTAAAGTCTATGAGTTTCCCTAGAAAAAATACCAATAACTTCATTACTTCAATGATTTGCACAACAGCCTTGAAAATACACTTTTATAAGGCAGAATTATCAATTGTACAGCAATAGAATTAGTCAGTAAATTGGAAGAGCTGTGCAACAGCAGAGCTTCTCCCTTCATTCTGCATTAGTGTGTGCTGCATTAGGCTTTGCTGGTGCAAGGGCTACTACCCTTGTGACCTCCTGCACATACAGACAAGGGAGCCCTTTCTTCCACACAAGTCCTCTCTCAGAGGCATATAAGCAGCCATTTGTTACCCCAGTCTTCACAAAACTGAAAGTAAAGCGGGACATCTGTACTGGAAAACATTAGCTGATTTCTCATAAAACAAGCAGGCCCTTGTTTCTCTGGGGCTCGCCTGCTTCTGCATTCCTTGAGTCCTCTCCAGTCGGGTGGTGTTAAGCACTGCAGTGCCATCTGGAGTTGATAAGGAAACCTCTGTTGATAAGGAAACCTCTGTTGAGTTCAAAACTGGAAGGAACACACAGATATTCTTACATACGTGTTCTTTGATTAATTTTTGATTTTTAAAATCACAAATCCAAGATTTTAAAAATGAACATCCATCTTCAGTTTGGAGAAATGTGAGAATGAAATTAGTGATGAAAAACAGGTCACAGAGTATTTGTTTTGATGACTTTGTATCAAGGCCAATTCAAGATATAACCACAAAAGCTATAAAATACAAATTATTCCAGGACTACGTCTCTTAAAAGCCTAAATAGTCCCACAAGCTGGGATTATTCTGAGTCAGTTGAGCTCTGCAAAAATTCATGAGCAAGAGAGAGAATGAATGCATTCCTCCACTGCTAAAAATCAATAGGATTTTTGTTTCTTAATTGAAATTCAAGTTTCTGATGTTTAAATTTGCAGGAGGCTGTGTATAACAAGATTCCCATTTTCTCTCCTTTCTCTTAGCTGTTCTGGCCTTCGTAGTCTTTCCATTAATGCTTACTGTATTACTGAGGTGGCAAGAAAGAAGATATGAACATAAGGAGCATCATAAAATCTTTTTCCTAAACATGATCTGCTGTCCTAAATCTGAAAAGCTTTTTTGAGCTCTGTGTAGACAAATGACAGGTCTGCAAAGCAACTAGGGAATACTGCTAATGATGTTTTAATTGCTATTCATTAAAATAATAGGTATTGTTTGGGTTGGTTTGGTTTTTTTTCCCTGGGTAAAAATGTGGTTTAAATTCCTTTACATAGAAGCATTAAGAGTGTGAACTTAAGAGTTATTCCATGTGCTGGCTGCTGCTGAAATAAATCCAGATGATCCCCTTACAATCTCCAACTGTAATTCTGAGGACATTTTTTAGGCAGAGGAACTGTTTTGCTGCACAGAAGTGCGTGCCATGGCTCTCTGAGCACAGGACTGGGGACCTGAATTAAGACCTGAATCCTAATCCTGGCTCTAAGACCAACCAGTGCTTTGACCTTGAGCGAGTCATAGATGTGGCTCCATAAATGATTGTATCTCCACCATCACAGGATTTGGGGGAGGATTAATTTGTTCATGTCTGCTTAGAAAGATGAAGAGCATTAAGTCCTTTCAGCTGCAGGTTGTTAGGAGTCAGTCAACACTGTGAATGTCAGATATGAAACAGACATGCCAGGAGCCAGAGAATGTGAATATTAAAGGTGGCATGTTTAAAGTCTTTGTTATACTAAGGGCACCTTTAATTCCGACCCTCACTGGCATGCAATTCTGGAATGTACATATCTGAAGACTTTTAGGGGTATATACAGTAAATCATTAATCTCTTATTATGATTTTGAAGTTATTGCAGCTGTTGTGTGCCAAAATAAATCTGAAATTAGTTAAAAAACCTGGAGCAAAGGGAACTGGCACATTAGCTGATCTTACTTTCATCTATCTAAAAGGAGAAGATATGGTATTAATTTGACAATTTGAGACTTTGAGGTAGAACGCACTGGTACATTTTGCAGGAAAATATTTCTTAAAAAAATACTACAAACCATTGGTGTCTTCAGTAAATAAATTCAATAACATCTCACAGATTTTAAAAAACCAAAACCTCAACAACATAGAAGCACTTCTACTCTGCACTCCTTCCTCAGAACTGCTTATTCACTCTGTAAACATCTGTGGGTGTTACCTTTAGAGTAATTCCCTGCCAGGCGAGCTGCAGCCCATTTGATGCCATCATACATGCATCACTCCTTAACTTTGATCCTTTCTTTGGTCTCTCACTTCACTTCCAGAATGAAGCTTTGGTTCAACCATCAAAGCCACGTATGTATCATGTCTTGGCTACAGTAGAGATAGTCCCTCTCAGTAGGGCTACAGCATTCTTTTGATCACTGAAAATCAAAAGCCAACAGAAGTGTAGTAATAACTAGGAAGAAAACATTTCCCATTGAGAACATCCACTGGATAATGACATACCACATACCAGCACCAGAAAAATGTCTTGCATTTTGCAGGACAGAGACCAAAAGTGAATGCATCACATGAAGCATACACCTTATAAATTTATCCAAAGCAGGAATCTGTTTCCCTCTAAGGACATTTATCCTACTTAATAGTGTGAAAATGGCAGATGGGTTGCAGAGCAAGGAAAGCACAATCCATCTCCTACTCATTTTGTCATGGGAGAGAGCAAAATAAAAATAAAACACATGATGATTCATGAAGAATTTTTTCAGGAATGGTGGACATTATTTGAACCCTTTTCTTTAGAGAAGCAAATTAACTTTGCTGTGGACAAACATAATGGCAGGTATTAATTTCTATACACAACCACATGACAAGACTTAGTTTGTACTAAAACTCTCATCTTTTCAAATGTATTTTGCACTTCAAGTGGATTTTTTCCTAAAATAAGTTTTCTGCTCAAGTGAATTGTGCAATTTATGTAAATGATGTGTGTGTGTGTGTGTGTGTGTGTGTGTGTGTGTGTGTGTAGATGGAAAGAGAGAGAAGGTCAATCCTGTTCCTACAGCCTGAGCATTTTCTGCCTTATCTATGTATGAAATGGTGCAGCTTCTGTCTGTTTAAAGGTTCTACAGTGAAGGAAAAGGCCACCAGCAAGAAAGGGACCTTCCTCCCACAATAGTTGGAGTATTGTGCAACAGAACAGATTGTATCAGTTTAAAAAAAAAATCATGTCCCTGATAAAACAGTATCAGAAGCATGCAGAGATCACGTCTCCCTTCTCTCATTGTTACTCAGCTTCTTTTATGTAACAAAATGCCAGCATGGTGATTCTAATCTAATTCAGCTGCACAAGCACTTTGACTGAAAGTTCAGAGAGGTGTTTTTAATCCTCTCCAACACGACCTAATAGAGGATGGCAAAACAGGAAGCCCTCGTGCGCAGATCCTTCCTCACTATAATGGCAGGGTGGAAGGTGCCATCTGTCACTTCATGCCATTATATTGGAAAGTGCTGTCTCCCCTAAACTCCTTGCAGCAGCTGC